CCACTCATACTGTGGTGCATTCTCAGCCCTCGGCTTTATTGATTGTATCCACTTACGAACACCCCATTCCGACTTACGAACAGAAAAAAAAATGCAGTGAAAGCGGGAAATTTGAACTTTCAGTTAACCGTTGGCCAGCGAAGAGGCTGTTTCTCTGCTACTTCTCTGGCCCCAGCGGTTAGAGAGTGTGGATACGAACAGAGACTTCAGACTGCCTGGCACTGTACTGTATGCACTGTATTTTTGGGCTTTTTTTAATTTTTGGAATTGGGGTCTGATGGGTCTTGGAGACCCTTTATGCAAGGGTTTGTGCTGGTTGGTGTGCTCTAAAATGGATTTTAGTCTTTTGGTTTTAAAATCAGATGAAATTGGACAGATTTTTCACCAGGATGGAGCCTGCAGCCAAGAGACAGCAACAGGGAACCCCTGGAGAAGATGACCCAAAGGAAGGGACCTCTTCCTCACAGTGATTACCATCTCACCACTCACCTGCCTGTCCTGCACCCAGAAGTCACTGTGATATCTTCCAGAAGACACTGAAACCTAAGTGACCTCTCTTGTTTTAAAAGGTGTTGGTGGGTAGATTTAAAAGTTGCTTGGTTTGGTTTAAAACAGGGGTCTCAAACGCGTGGCCCGCGGGATGATAATTTGTGGCCCCCACTTTAATATGAGTTTAATGTTACTGCGGCCCATAAGTTTGGTATGCATGGCATTTTATGGTGTTGTGTGTGGAGGTGAACGAACCTACCGATCACGGTGGGGTATATGGCACTCGGAAGTGGGACATCGGCCAGGCTTGATGCAAGCAGAGATAGATTTTTCAATGAATGAAAGTTATAGCAGCGTTGCCATGGAGAGAGAGAGAGAGAGAGAGGAAGAGAGAGTGTGTGTACATACATACCGTATATATCTCTCATAGAGTGTTTTCTTCCGTGTCTGGCCACACACACGTGTCAATGGCACTTAGAGAGTTGATATGAGCTCTCTCTCTCTCTCTCTCTCTCTGACTAAATTGAAGTGATGTGTACTCAGCAGGATAAAAGAAAAGTAAGGAACTCAATGCAGCCTAATGGAGTCTGCAGTCACAGAGCGACACTTGCCCATTGGCAATAACAGTCCCCGGTAACCCGGACCAATTATGGGGTCACACTGTTATTTGTGGCTCATTGTTTTTTATTTGCATCGCGCTATTTGCACTGTCTCACACAATGAACATTACATATATTTCTATATGATGTAAAAGTAGTCAAAACAAATGACATTAACAATAGCACGGTGTCGTTTCTGCTTCTTTTTCCTGTAATAATAGCACAGCGGATAATAATAGCATGGCGGATAACAGTCGGTAAGCAGTTGCCGTTTTTGTGCTCGCTATCCCAGTACTTTCCACAATCTACAAATGCCATGGTGTTCATATCATCATGAAAGACAGGAACTTCAAGCATAAAAACAAAGCAGACTGCTACCAGGCTTTTATCTGCCGATTGCCATGCTGCGGTTACAAGAAAAAGAAGCGGAAATGACGTTCTCCATGCGTTGAGACATTCACCATGCGTTGGCTAAATGCTTGATTGAAACTTCAATGTGACAGTAACACCAAGTGAAATTATATATATTACACAACCCCAAACATGTCTTTTTCAAAGCCTGCAGTGAAGAGAAAGGTTGGTGATGAGCACAGAGTTTGGTTTAAAACAGGGGTCTCAAACTCGTGTCCCGCGGGACGATAATTTGTGGCCCCCACCTTAATATGAGTTTAATGTTACTGCGGCCCGCAAGTTTGGTATGCATGGCATTTTACGGTGTTGTGTGTGGAGGTGAACGAACCTACCGATCACGGTGGGGTATATGGCTCTCGGAAGTGGGACATCGGCCGGGCTTGATGCAAGCAGAGATAGATTTTTCAATGAATGAAAGTTATAGCAGCGTTGCCATGGAGAGAGAGAGAGAGAGAGAGGAAGAGAGAGTGTGTGTACATACATATGTGTTTTCTTCCGTGTCTGGCCACACACACGTGTCAATGGCACTTAGAGAGTTGATATGAGGTGTCTCTCTCTCTCTCTCTCTCTGACTAAATTGAAGTGATGTGTACTCAGCAGGATAAAAGAAAAGTAAGGAACTCAATGCAGCCTAATGGAGTCTGCAGTCACAGAGCGACACTTGCCCATTGGCAATAACAGTCCCCGGTAACCCGGACCAATTATGGGGTCACACTGTTATTTGTGGCTCATTGTTTTTTATTTGCATCGCGCTATTTGCACTGTCTCACACAATGAACATTACATATATTTCTATATGATGTAAAAGTAGTCAAAACAAATGACATTAACAATAGCACGGTGTCGTTTCTGCTTCTTTTTCCTGTAATAATAGCACAGCGGATAACAGTCCGTGAGCAGTTGCCGTTTTTGTGCTCTCTATCCCAGTACTTTGTACAATCTACAAATGCCATGGTGTTCATATCATCATGAAAGACATGAACATCAAGCATAAAAACAAAGCAGACTGCTACCAGGCTTTTATCTGCCGATTGCCATGCTGCGGTTACAAGAAAAAGAAGCGGAAATGACGTTCTCCATGCGTTGAGACATTCACCATGCGTTGGCTAAATGCTTGATTGAAACTTCAATGTGACAGTAACACCAAGTGAAATTATATATATTACACAACCCCAAACATGTCTTTTTCAAAGCCTGCAGTGAAGAGAAAGGTTGGTGATGAGCACAGACAATTTCAGGAAAAGTGGGAAATGCAATATTTCTTTGCTGAGCACAGGGGCACCCTGACATATTTTATTTACACGGAGAAAGTTGTGTAAAGAAATACAATTTGAAATGTCATTACACAACTAGACACACTGAGGAGTATGTAAAATACCAAGGAGATGAGAGCCAACCGGGTTGCCAATTTTAAACCTGTCTACTGAGGCAACAAGATTTCTTCAAGAAAGCAACCAAAGAGAATAATGCAGCAGTAGAAGTTAGCTATGTTGTTAGTGAGATGATTGCTAAAGCAGGAAATCCATTCACAGAAGATGAACTTGTCAAAAAGTGCATATTACAGGCTGCAAGTATACTCTGTCCAGAAAAGAACGTTCAGTTTAGCAACATCAGCCTTTCTGCCAACACTGTGGCAGAATGCATTTCTTTATGCGCTTTATGACCAACTGTGTGAGAAAGCCAAATGTTCCGGTGTATACTCAGTCGCTCTTGATGAGACCACAGACATCACCGACACTGCCCAGCTTGCAGTGTATGTCCGTGGTGTTGATGACAATTTTGAAGTGATGGAGGAATTGCTCACAGTAATTCCAATGCATGGCCAGACCACTGCTCAGGAGTTATTTCACCAGCTGTGTGATGCAATTGAGAATGCTGGCTTGCCATGGAAGAGGTTTGTTGGAATAACAACCGATGAAGTGCCATCAATGGCAGGGAGAAAAAATGGACTGGTGGCACGTGTTCAAAAAAAAAAAAACTGGAAGAGAAGGGTATGGAGGAAACCATTGCTCTGCACTGCATTATCCATCAGCAGGCCCTTTGCAACAAATGCCTGAAGTTTGACAATGTGATGTCTGTATTTGTGAAATGCATCAGCCAAATCAAATCCAGGGGCTTAAAGCACCGAAGGTTCTGTGCTTTTTTTAGAGCAAATGGAGTCAGAACATGGGGATGTGCTCTACTTCACCGAGGTACCATGGGGATATGCTCTGCTTCACCGAGGTACGTTGGTTCAGCAGGGGAAACGTATTGAAGAGATTTTTTGAGTTGAGAGCAGAAGTGAAAGCCTTCATGAAGGCATTCTCCACAAAACTTGTGTTATGGAAAGCCTAGCTCTCTCAGACAAATCTTTGCCATTTCCCAGCATGCAAAGCACTCGTGGATGCAGGCACACCATTCATTGGTGAGAAGTATGTTGATGTCATTTTTAAGCTACAGGAGGAATATGATCACAGATTTGCAGACTTCAAAGCCACATTTTAAATTTTCGTGGACCCCTTCTCCTTTGATGTGCAAGATGCCCCTCCTGTGCTTCAAATGGAGCTCACTGACGTGCAGTGCCACTCTGAACTCAAAGCGAAGTTCAGGGAGGGGGTTGGAAAAGCAGACAAGCTTGGGCAATTTTTGAGAGAATTGACCCCCAGCTTCCCTGATCTTTCCCGAATGTTCAAGCGGACCATGTGCCTTTTTGGGAGCACATACTTGTCCTCCACTTTGGGGGCCTCACAC